CTCTCTCTCTCTCTCTCTCTCTCTCTCTCTCTCTCTCTCTCTCTCTCTCTCTCTCTCTCTCTCTCTCTCTCTCTCTCTCTCTCTCTCTTCCCTGCCTTCCTTCCTTTTGTCTGAGTCCATGGTCATCCATACAGCCGTAATAAATCCATATCAAACCTTCGATACCACACATCGTTAATTTTTCCTTTGTGCATGCCATCCTTGTGCAGGGGCCACTCTCTTCCTTGCGCAGGGACCACTCTCATCCTCTCCGTGTTGGAACACAGTGATGATGAAACAAGTCTTTTCTTTTTCCATTCATTGTCTTTACCTAGTTTCCATCAGAGATTTCATGTATTTGAAATGTGAACGCATTCCCTCATGCACAGAATCACAACAACAAGATGCGACGTATTGAAGACATGGTGACACAACTCTCCCCTTTGCTAAGGGGTGCTAATCACCATCTTGTAATGCCACTCATCCTTCAACTGCAGATGCTCTATGCCAATGAAGCAACACGGCGACGTCGAGAGACAATCAGTGCGCACCAAATCAAAGCCAACCGAGCTATTGAAATTTGAAAGACGAAAAAAAGTTATGCTCTGCTCTCAAATACACCATTCAATGCAATTGCAATCATATCAAAGTGCAACTGCAATGCATGGGTCATAACAATTCATTCGCATAGCAATAACATAGTGCAATGAAGATAAAGGAATAAGCTCTGCATGCCAGCACAGACAAGATCAACCTTTGAAAACCTGCAACGAGAACAATTACTTCTTTTATAAATGAAACTATAATACTATATCCATAATTATATCTCTAAGAAAAGATTTAAAACACACAAGAAAAGTGCAACCAAAAGAAGATGGTCATTTGCAAACAAGAACTGAAATTATGAAACAATGAAAGGTGCAAAACTGGTTGCACAGCATTCAAAAAAATGAGACATTTGACTTGATTGCAAATGTAAAGAAGCAAATCAGTCCTCCTCCTTCCCATGCTCCCAGCACAAGGCCTCAGTCATCCAACTCCTGAAGAAATTGGAGGGAAGCTGTCATCGGTGGGCGATCGGGAAACTCAGAAATCCTACCAGTCAAAATAAAATGGTCGTCGAACTCACTCACTTCAATGGTTAGCAGCGGAGCAACGGGTGCCCTGGGCGAACCAGAGGAAGTGGTCACAAAGCTTGGCGGGTCTTCGTGCGCTTATTACTGCCGCCAGAAGGAACTACCGTAAGAAAATAGAACAGAAAATACACTGCGAATATCTGAACGGTGAATCGGATCCGTCATTAGAAAAGGCACACACTCCAATCACCTGCAGCATGCAAGACAGCGATCAGAGAGCAAATTACTCGCCATCATCAAAGCACAAAAAAGACAGAGGAGAGGACCTACACAAACCTCTGCCTACAGCACTCACTGTTACTCATTCCAACTATATCCACTATGGTCCTCTCTGCCAAGAGATCCTCAGAACTTCATCCCTTCTCGGCCCTCCATGGCGCTCAGGCCGCTCAGCATGGTTGTTCGGTTACGCTGCAGATGGCACACAAATACAGGCATTGGGACGCGGCGAAATGTGTCAGAATCAAGGGCACCCTCATGAATCCTCTGGAACCGAACAAGTCAGCAACCCATTTTAAGTAATGCCTTCCTTTCTTTCCTAGTTAGGATGAAGAGACACAATGCCACTTGAAGAAACATCAAGCAAACTGGTGACATCAACCCCTCAACACAAAACCCCCCTGGCATGCCATCCAGGCCTCCAAACACTCCCATCCTGGTAGCACAGGGTTACTCTGCCAGGCCCACAATGACTGGGGATGAAGTTTTGAGACACACACACACACACACACACACACACACACACACACACACACACACACACACACACGTGAATGAACAGGAGTCCTTTAGAACGTGCAAGTGTGCCGATAAGGCACACGTAGATGTGGGCCGCTGGCGCTCAACCACAATCAACATGGCCAGCCTTGTACGAGAGAAGCACAGTAAAAGGGGAGCTGCAAGAACAAATAAAAGGGGGGCCCCAAAGAAAGCCAAAGTAAGGGTAATCAAGAAACGGATTTATTGTGCTTCATGCTTCTTTTGCTATAGACTCATAGAGGTAAAACTGTTTCCTTGTTGGATTGGCTCATCTCATGTGTTTCATTGTCTGCAATAGACGTAAAGCTGCTTCGATTTTGGATCTACTCATCTGGGTGGAACAAGGGCTGTTGTGGTGAAAATCTACAACACACAACCAGTTAAGATGAACATACACATGCTACACACACACACACACACACACACACACACACACACACACACACACACACACACACACACATGCTTCTTCTTCTTCTTCTTCATCAGCTACTTTGTGCTCTGCTTCAGACATAGCTGCAGATACAGTCACCCACCTCAAATCTCTCCCGAGTCCCAACCCATCACTTAGAAAATACATGACCTGTCCTTCGGGACATCTGTTCAAATTAGAACGATACAGAGAAGATTAGCATGGCCCCTGCGCAAGGATGACACGCATTAATCGAGAAATGGTCCAATTTTGTATTAAAAAAAAAAGAAAATACATGACCAGGGGCTTGTGAACTCATTCCTGGGGGATTCCACCCTTGGCAGAGAGACTCTGTCCACCCATTTGGGGGTTTCCTCCCTGCACTCCCGAGTCCCGACTGATTCGCCTTGAATGAATGGGCGAGAGAAATCAGGAGTTGGCATCATTAATCGGCAACAGTGAAACACTTCCTAACATGTAAGTTAAATGAGACAATTGGCCACTAACATATACACACATAGAAGCACACACTATGACAATGAGTAGACGGGAACTAACATAACGTCAATGATGAAAACAGGCTTGGAAGCAGTGACTCACCAAGACTGACCGCGTTGAGGTGCGATGGAAGTTGTGCATATTATGCACTGAGGACGGTTTCGTCTTCTGGCCAGTCTTCCCAACGAACAATCATTCCTGATGGTTTCTGATGCCATCCACGGAACACCCACCCACCCACCCACCCACCCACCCAGGCCAGTCCCCCCCCCATCCTCCTTCGCATCCTCACCCTGCAGCAACTTCAGAAGCTGATTGGCTCTTCGTCAGAGCAGTCTTCTTTCCTCAGCTCATCAACTCCAACACCGCCAAGACCTACAACTGCTTCATTGCAATTTGACTCCGTTCCTCATTTCACCAACCCGCTTGAATGAAGAGTGAAGGCAAGAGCCAGCATAGCTGCTGTGGCTATCCCAACCCACACCAACTCCGAGCTTGGGCCTGTATAACAGCAACAAACGCCAGCACACCAGAACCGATAGCTGTGAGCCTTCCCTTCCCTTTCTTTCTCCACACATCCACCAGACTCTGGAATTCAATTCCATTTTTTTTTTCCTTTTTTTTTAACTTGCTATTGCTGATCTACCAATACCTAAAGGAAAAAGCAGTCCCCATAAGACGGTCCCTTTGGGCCCAGCAAAAATAAGGCCCGCACGTCGTTTGGAGGTGTCCCGTGAAATAGGCCGCAGGAAGTTTTTTGCCTGGCGGCCGCGGCGTCGAGACTGTCCCCCGTCAAGTTCCGTGGGCCAACGCTGCCAAAAACTGTAACGACAGGTGCGGGTTGGGAGTCGGGGAGGGGCCAGGCCGCTTTTATGGTATTTTGTCTGGAGGGCGTTTTTTCACATTCTGCCAGAAGTGTCGGGCAGATTCAACCAGGCAGTGTATATTTCCATGTTCTAGCGGAAGATCCATTCGATTTTGCTCATCCTATCGATGGAAGTCGCGTGAGGCCAGCCGGGAGGTTGGAGACTGACCTGCTCTCTCTCTCTCTCTCTCTCTCTCTCTCTCTCTCTCTCTCTCTCTCTCTCT